AATATAAGCAAATGCCGCGAATTCAACTAGTAAAAATAAAATTAAGCAAGCCAGAGATTTTTTATTTCGAGAACTCATGTAAAGAAATAAAAGACCTCGAAAAAAACTTTGACAGCTTCAACCTACACAAGTAACTTAAATATACCTCAGGAAATACTCACGTACTTAAAAATACAGACGGAAAAAATTGTGATCAAGAACAACAGTGATTTTTGACGATTCTTCTCGAGAAAATACAACACACACTATTACCTCTGATAACCAGTTAGACAGAGATCCCAGTATACTGAAATCAGTACTAAGTTAGAAAAGGATTACAGCAAGCCGAAAATAATAAAGCATCTGAATCAGATCAAATTTCTGCTGAGCTACTTTAACTTAATTTTTGGATGAGGAAAACATTACCTACTTAATCACTTTCTTCAACATAATTTACAACGAAGGAAAAATACCAGATGATTAGTTAGACTCACTGTTTATAACATTACCAAAGAAAAGCAGGTCCACCAAATGCAGTGACTTTAGACTAATCAGTGTGATGAGCCACACATAAAAGATACTTTTACGAATTATATAAAACCGAGTATTTAGAGATGATCTAGGAACTGGGGAGGCACTATTTTGTGTGAGTTCCGAAAGAACGTTTATGTTAGTTTTATCAAATTAGAGAAGGCATTCGACCGAGTACACACGATAGACTTATAGATTGCCTGCGGCAACATGACTTGCAATTATAGAACTAGATCCAAATTGAAGAAAACCGTACTGAAAAACTACTCATCAAACGTATGACAGGTTTGTTTGTCTTTTTAATCTATACTCTAAAGAAATCTTTAGGGTGGCTTTGGATGACCGACAAGAGGGAGTAAGACTAGGCGGAGAAGTAATCAATAATATCAGATACGCTCACGATACAGCCGTTCTTGCAGAAAATTTACAACGTGTATAGATATTAGTAAATCTAGTCAGTGAAGCAAGTTATCGGAGAGGCCTCAAAATTAACATTTTAAGACAAAGTGGATGGAAGTTGGAAAGATTAATATAGATGCAGATATGCTTTCTTTTAATAAAGAGGAGATAGAACGTGTACCTAAACTAAATACCCTAGAGCTGGTTAAATGTAAATTGTGACTTATGAAGAGATAACCAGAATCGAAATATCACGTAAGGCTTTATGACTGTAGACCTTTTATGTAACAGAAACTGGCCGATGGTTTGGAAAAGCGGCGGAAAAGAGATGTAGAATGGATTGGCGAAAGAAACCTTTATGGCTGCGTAATATTGGCAGAGATATGATTCCACACTAGAAGAATTATTTCCTAAAAAAGGATACCAAATGGAAGGAAAATAACTTATAATCTGCTATACAGACGTAGCAATACTACTCTCTCAAAGTGAAGACGATTTGCAACGTATGCTGCACAAATTTAATATATATATATATATATATATATATATATATATATATATATATATATATATATATCCGGTTTTTTAGGCGTTACTCCCGTCCGGTAGGGATCTATGGAGGAGTATCACCGAGCCGCAAGCCCTTATTTAATATAACCGCCAGAAAATTTAACATGTTATAATTTCTCCAAAAAAGACAAAATGCATGGTTACAACAGCAAATTTACTAAGATATAAATTGGAGCTGGAAGGTCAGATAATAGAACAAGAGTTTTAATATCTAGACATCACATTATCTTGCTACGGAAGCTCGAAACTGAAGAGGAAGATCAAGTGAATAGAGCAAACAGAGCTGCAGGCTGCCTGAATTAAACAATATGGAGAAATAAAAATATCAGGAAAGAAATGAAAGGCAGAATTTACAAAACAGTCATCAGACCAATAATGACATACGCGGCAGGAACACCACCTGATACAGAGAGGACAAAAGAGATGTTAGAAACAGCAGAGATGAAAATAGAAAAATTAATGGCAAGACACTATGGGACAGAGCTAGAAGTACAAATATACGATGTCGATGCAAGGTGGAGAACATCAAGAACTGGGTAAGAAATAGAAGAGTAGAATGGAACAATGATATAAGGCGAAGGCCATTAAATAGAGTAGTAACGACGGCAAGGGACGGTTCCCCAATAGGAAGACGATCAGTAGCAAGACCACGAAAATGATGGAACAACTTACTGAGGGCACATTGAAAAACAGACAGAGCCATGTCTACATAAAAAAAAGAATTATTTCGCGCTGCAGGCGATAGAAAAAATAAATAATACAGAATAAGATAGAAAGAATAAGGATATAAATGGACTCACCAAACAAATACTAAACGACAAACCGGAAGGAAAAAGTCTAGAACTCCACTTGAAATAATGGAGGAAACTTTTATGCTAGAGCAGCCAAAAATTCTTAAACCCTGAAATGAAGAAAAAAAATCTGTAAAATCGATTTCCTGTAAACAAATCGAGTCATCAAAAATAACGATTTATCATAGCTCTCTTTTTTTCAACAGGCGGATAAAATATTTCGAATATTTTTAAACATTCCAGCTGTTATCAAGAGTTGTTTGTTTATCTTACACTATAAAAAAAAAAATAGTCACCGTTCAACTCACCTTCACCTTAGTACTTTGATAAACTTCTGGACCTGCGAGTCCAAACCTCAAGAATTTTCGTGTATGACTACCTTTATACGCTTATATTAATTTCATTGATAAAGATATTTATGGATATCATAGAACAATTAGATTGTGTTATTTATTTTGAATTTGTATAGCTCTTTATGTAAATTTAAGCAATAAAGTTACTTCACCATTCTTATGACTTTTACTTATTGATAATGCTAATGCCACTACAATGAGTCATTTCAATTATGTATGGTCAAGAAAGATACCGAACAAAATGAAAGCAGCACGTAAACAGAATGGATGAAAATCGACCAACTACACAAATGCTAAATCAAAAATCGGAAGAAAGAAAAAGCGTGGAACGCCACATGAACAGATGGAGCGAAATTTGAGTCTTAAAAGAAGTTAAAAAATACCTAAACTTTGGAATGAAGAATAATAAAAAGCTGTTGTAGTTGTTACAATTAGGGGCAAGCATGACCAGACTAGGAAGCTGACAGCCTCGTAAAAGAAGACCCCACTCATGGGTCCAGAAATCGTTTATAAGGAGCAGATTTGCGCACTTATTTGGAAATATGTGTTTTCTTCATGTGGTGCAGCACATAGTAGACCAGTCTAATATATATGCCCAGCAGCATGGGATGACACTAAATTTGAACGTTCAGGAGCTCAATGCATTCTTTGGGGTGCTCGTCATTCTTTACCGACGTTCAAATTATAGTCTGGTCAAGTGATAAAAATTTTAGGGTAAAGAGAATTTGCGAAGTGATGTTTCAAAAGCCGTTCCTTCAAATATTACGATTCATCCATATAAATGATCATTCAAAAATTCCAAAGGGAGGGGAAACCAATTTTGACAAAATATGCAAAATATGTCCACTGATAATATTAACAATAATTTCAATCACAATTTGTTTCTTTTCGAAATATATCTATCTATGAAAATATGGTTGGCTTCAAAGGTCGGTCAAGCTTGAGGCAATATATGCCTCTAAAGCCAACAAAGCGAGGTTTCAAAGTTTGGGTTGCTGCATGTGCTGCACGGGATATATGTATTCGTTTGTAGTGCACCAAGGTAAGTCCACTAAAAGCGACAATAACTCATTAGGGGAAAGGGTTTGTTCTATCCTTTTCAAGAGACGTGTGGAATAATGGTTATTGCTTTTAATTCGACAAGTTTTTTAACAGTATTCCTCTTCTACAAGAACTATCTAAAAGATAATCATTTGGCTGTGGGTCATTTAGAATTACTGAAACTATTACCCAAAAGAGTTTTTACGAAGTGACAAAGATATACAACTTGGATATTCCGACTTTGCTCAAACTGAAGACATATCTATGGTAAAATGGAGAGATAGAGGAAAAATGTGTGGTGGTGATCAGTAATATGCATAATACTGCTAAAAAGGAACTGTAAAGCATACTAATAAAGCTGGAATACGGGGAGAAATTGAATGACCAAAAGCAGTTTGTGATTACAATCGGTTTATGGGAGGCGTCGACAGATTCGATAAGATGCTTTCTTGCTACAATATCTCTTGCAAATTCAGAAAATGGTGGATAGAACTATTGTACTACATTCTAAATGCTACAGTAGTAAACAGTTAAAATATATTGTATAATCTTGAAATAAAAAGAAATTCAGGCATGCCTATGTCACATTTTTCATAACGCAGCTTTTTTGCCAATAAGCTCATAAATAATTTTTCGAGTAGAAAAACGAAGGGGTCCTGTAGCGACATCATTTCGTAAAATAAACAAGATTGAAGTTGATTGAACAAAATGTGTACTGATCCTGTAGTTGGAAGTTCGATTGTTGGTGAACATTTACCTGTAAAAGGTACCTATCGGCGATGTGCTTTCTGTAGCACAGATAAGAAGCCAAAGCGATCTCACATGGTATGCAAAAAATGTGATGTTGCCCTTTATTCGGAATGTTTTACACCTTTCCATTTGTAATTGTCTCTTATAATAATTGTTTTTTGAATAAAACGTTGTCTAAAGTGATTTTTTTATTTAGTAACACAATTTCCTTAACAAATTGAACAAGAGGTTGATTTTTCAACCAGTGAAATTTTCAAAGTCGTTGGGACCGCCATGGTCCTTTGGTTGAAAAATCTTGTCTTGTTCGACAAAGAAAAAAACATAATGACAAAACGATACATTATGACTCTATTTATACTTGTTTTGCATCGTTTTACTGAATATAAGCTTTGGACGACGTAAAAAAAAGTTTCGCGCTTTAAAGGGTTAATTCAGTACAGAAAAAGTGTAGGATTTTGTCCTAGAGGTCTATACTATACAAACAACTTATCAACTACTTGAACTGGTCAGAATACTATTTCTCTTAGCTATTAATGTATTTTTGTCCTAAATAGGTTTTTTCAAACACTTAATATATCTTTTTTAGATGAACAACCCAAACCGAACAGACATCACACTCCTTCGGCAAATGGTTGCGGAAGTTTGGGTCTATCCATATCCTCTGAGTACTTACCGCTTGGAGAAATGAAAAAGTGCTGCGATGAACACGATATCTGCTACGATACCTGCAGAAACGATAAAGAAGTTTGTGATATAAATTTCAAAAGATGTCTCTATAAATACTGTGAGTCATACGATAAGTCTATAGCGGGAAATACTGTAGTAAAAAGTAAGTTTTTCTTTACTTTATAGTCTTGCATATTTTCTTTTTTAGTATACAAATAGGTCATTTAGTATGTAACAGAAGCTGTATGATTCTTTTTATCATTTTTTATACATATTGTCGCTAGGAAAATACGCATGAATCGTGGATGACCGTTTCTTTTTCACTTTCCGCAATCTTTCTAGTTCCTGAGAATGTCAAACGAAAGAAGTGTCTTATTTATTCCAGGAGTACTACTTTGGAAGCAGAGGTTTAGAACGAGTCGACAACTGAGGGCGCACGTTCGAAGTTAGCAACGGTTTGTACGGTCCATATTGGGTTAAGCCTAGTTTGCACTATGCTAGTATTTTATTCGAGTAGCGAGTAATTTAGTAACTAAAATACACACTATTGGTTAAAAATTGTTCGCACTTGTTGCAGTACAGTTCACAAGTGAGTTATGTTTTGCAAGTTGAACAGCTTACAATACAATAAACGTATTAAGCTAATCTACTTACTTACTCCGTGGCGTTACAACCCTTCGTGGGTTTTAGCCGACTCGACAACATGCCTCCACTGTTTTCTGTCTTGAGCAACCTCCATCCAATTCTCCACGCCCATACTGCTTAGGTCTCCTGCTATATTATCTCGCCACCGGAGACGAGGGCGTCCGCGTGGTCTTCTTCCAGTTGGGACTTCCTCCCACACCAGTCTTACTGTTCGTTCGTCAGAATGTCTTCTGAGGTGTCCTGCCCATTGGAGTCTTCTGGACTTTATTTCTTTTATGATGTTGGCGTCTGGGTAAAGTTTTTCAAGCTCTTTATTAGTTCTTATCCTATATTGTCCTGATGCTTCATCAAGCACCGGACCAAAGATCTTCCTTAGGATTTTTCTTTCCCAAACACGTAGTATCTCTTCATTTGCCTTTGTTATCGTCCAAGTTTCGCTTCCATACATCACAACGGGTCGTATGATTGTTTTATAGACCTGTATCTTCGTACGTCGTGTTAGTTGTTTTGATTTTATAAGGTTTTGGAGGGCAAAAAATACATCTGTTGCCAGCCTGAACCCTGTTGTTTATTTCTTGTGATCCGTTATTGTCTTCAGTTATTGTTGTTCCAAGATACTTGAATTCTCTAACGCGCTCAAAGTTAAAGTCATCGATGGTAATGTTCTGACCGATTCTGTCTCTGCTTTGGTTATTGCGGCTCATATACATATATTTCGTCTTGTTTTCGTTGATTTGGAGCCCCATCTTCTCTGCTTCCTTCTCAAACCTTACGAAAGTCTCCTTCATCCTTAATCGTGTGTTTCCTATTAGATCTATATCGTCTGCAAATGCCAGTAGTAAGTTTGGTCCTTCTCGATGAAATACTGTATTCAGTTTTTCGATTTTTGCACTTCTGATTATGTGCTCCAGAGCTAAGTTGAAGAGTTGTGGTGAAAGTGCATCTCCCTGTTTTAGTCCATTGTTTATTTCAAATGTCTCCGAGTATTGTTGTCCAACTCTCACCTTACATCGTAACCGTTCCATACACATCCGTATCAACCGGACTAGTTTTTTTGGAAAGCCAAGTTCCTGCATCGCTGTCCACAGTCTGTCCCTACATACTCTATCAAATGCTTGTTTAAAATCTATGAACATCTGATAAAGCTCACGATCAAACTCCCAGCATTTTTTATTATCTGTTTTATTGTGAATATCTGGTCAATTGTAGAGCGGCCCGGTCTGAATCCGCATTGATAATCTCCAACGATTTCTTCTGTGTATGTTTTGGTTCTTTCTAGCAGGATGTTTGCAAGGATTTTGTAGGTGGTATTTAGAAGTGTTATTCCCCTGTAGTTAATACATTGCTTTTTGTTTCCTTTTTTGTGTATTGGTACAATAACCCCTTCTTTCCATTCATCTGGCATTGTTTCTTCTTGCCAAATGTCTTGAATTAGCTTGTATATCGAACTATACAACGCTTCTCCTCCATGTTTTAAGCACTCTGCGGGTATACCATCGCTACCTGGTGTCTTATTATTTTTGAGTTTTTTAATTGCCTGTATTACTTCTTCGTATGTCGGGTATTGGTCTTCTATTTCAGCTGTATGTACCTCTATGTTTGATGTACTTCTGCTAGATTGGTCATTCAATAGTTGATAGAAGTATTCCTTCCAGGTTTTTAAGATTTCCTTGTCATCAGTGATAAGCTGTCCACTGTCGTTTTGAAGAAAGTTTCCTGTTCTTGCTTGGTACCCGGTCTTGATATCTGAAACTCCTTTAAAGAACTGCCTCGCTTGTTTGTTCTTTCTTTTTTCTTCTATATCTCTGATTATTTGTTCCTGATACTCTCTCTCGAAGTCTTCCATAAATAGATTGGCAATTACTGTAGATAGAGGAGAGCCCATTGGGGCACCATTTATTTGTCTGTAGAATTGATTTTGGAAGATAAAATAGGTGGTCGAAATAGGTTTTAAATTTTTGTAAAGTACATTTCAGTCAGTTTTTGTAAATGTAAATAAACATTTCGTACTATTTCTTGGTAAAATATAGTAAGTAAAAACGATTCAATATGTTTTAATGTATTTTCTTTCTGAATGTTTTATTCCGATAGCGTCTCCTTCCAAGCGAAGTAAATGCGTGTTCTTTTGTCAACTACAGAGTAAGTTATTTTGTCAACCTATGTAATTTGCCCCCTCTCGTGCATTCAATTTAAGGTGAGATGAACAGTATCGTAGTATAACCCATACATTGCAACTTCATCGTCATCATAGTGGATTTATAGATGTTATCAAGAACCCTTATTCTGGGTCTTTCTCTTCCTCTCTGACCAATGGATCTATCAAGAAGCGTTTTTCTGAGTAATTTTGTTCCATCCTTCTTTGTTGTTTAATCGTTCAGATCTCGCGAAATGCATTATTTTGGTAGTTCGCATGTCAGAAAGATAAATTGTTGCCTCTGCACCAAATAGTTGACCACTGCAGTGCAAATTCTTTTCATTAAAGTTTTTAGTTGTTTTCATGTAGTAGTTGGAAGAATGAGAAAACAGAGTCGATAAAAGAAGACAATTTAATATCACTCAGACAAGAAAAACCTAGCCTAGTTATCTAGGAGATCAACATCTCTTCATATATGATCAAATTGGAATGAGGTTTTACTCCTCATTCCAATTTGATCATATATGAAACAGATGTTGATCATCTCTTCATATCCTCATTCCTCATTCCTTTCATCTCCTCATTCCTTTCGTGGCTTCCAGATATGTCGTTTAACTTTCACAACTGGATTAATGCTTCATTAGTTGTGAACTATTCTATACATATATATATATATATATATATATATATATATATATATTATATATATATATATATATATATATATATATTCTTTCCAAGCATTTTGCAACATTCTAGAGGACATGCATTAAGTAAATATCTTAATACTTTGATATTCTTACCTTACAAATTCACGAACAACAAATATTACCAATCGCACGGAATGAATGTTCATAACCAAAAGCGTTTATTTATTTTTCAAACATTTAAAAAAACCCAATATTTCCAACTTTTTATAGGATAAATACACACAAATTAGAAATGATTGGAAAGGTTTTTAAAATTCCCACCCCTTGTGACGTCATACTTAGGTAGTCTATTATGGCATTAGTTTACTTCGTAGCTATATAAAACTACATAAATATTTTATTAAAATGTAATATTTATTAATATAGAAGATAATGCTTTTTTTAATTGTAGCATGTAAAGGAGCAGCTAAAATGTTGTTTACTAGTACTTTAACGCTTGGTTGCAAGTCGTATCTAGACTCACAGTCAGCAGCGTGTTACTGTTCGTCGTCGGGACGGAAAGATAAGAAAAGTAAATACAGTAACGGAGGAAGTAAAACGGAGCTTTAGATAATATTGTTTTGTTAGGTTTATTTATTTATTTTACGTTAATAATAAAATGGTTTTGTTTTTTGTATTTTTATTAGCATTCCTCAACTTTACAAAAATACCATTTTTCGCCAACTAATACACTCCTGTCTTTTAACTACAAATATGTTGGATTTGAGGTCCAGAATATAATTATTTTAATTTCATAGTTCTAAAACACAATAGATCTATTATATATTACGGCTGTTTGGTATATGGGTTAGCTATCATAACCAATATACGTAAACTTGATAGAATTAAGTTCAAAGCTTTGAAAATTGTGTTAGGGTTGACGAAAAGCTCCCCAAATTAAGCCACACAAGTTCTAGCCTCTGAAAACCCACTCTCATTATGCAGAGAATATATAGCAAGTAAATATTTCCTAATCTAACATTATCACTGCAACTATAATACCAAAATAATTAATCAATTAAATACAGCTGATTTACCAACTACATTCTTTTTAAAAAAGGATTCCTCACTACTAGCAAAAGCATTTATAACTTGCAATGAACTTAATGACTTATTGCACTTGCAATGACTTAACAAAGTTAATAAATTCTCCTTATATTCCTATTTGGGAATCATTGGACATACCACACCTGACAAGTGTTCTAACTACAAACATTATTATTCCTAAATACCAAACTGAATTTTGTCATAATACTCTCAAGGAGATCTTAAGTAACTATTCAGATTACATTGCAATATGTACAGATGGGACAAAATTAGTAACATTTACAACCACTGCTTACTTTGTACCAAAAATGAAGATTAAAAAGTATCTAATCTTAATAATAAATCCAGCACATTTTCCGCTGAAATATGTGCTATATAAAGCTCTTGATTAGTGTCGCGGAAACCAGTGGAACAAAATTGTCGTCTGCCTTGATTCATTATCAATATTTAATGCATTACAAAACTTTAAGGTCACAGTGAACAGCAGTATATTCATATTAAAAATATTTCAACACTTACTAAAATTATCAGCCTCATCATATGAGGTTAAATTCGTATAGGGTATAGGCTAAGAGAAATTAGGTTAATAATAATAACAGCCGAACATTTTAAACACCTAAGTGATAATGCTGTCAGGAAACTAATATACCTCTGCAACATAATATATAAACATGGCATAATACCGCATGACTGGCTAATGTCCACATATGTAGCTCTTCCTAAAAAACAAAAAGCATGGAAATGTGAAGACCATCGAACTGTATCCCTAATGAGTCATACCACTAAGATTTTTATGCGAATAATTTATAATCGAATTCACAATATGTGTGAAGAATACCTGAGTTGTTCGCAATATGGATTTACAGAGTACAGGCACTAAAGAAGCAATTATGGGATTGACACTGATGGCAGAAAGGTATGTTGAGGTCCAAAAACGGCTGTATGTGTGCTTTGTCGATTATAGAAAGGTCTTCGACCGCATCAAACACGGTGTAAATTGATTAAGGTGCTAAAAGAAGTAGGGTTGGAGGGACACGACATAGCTATCATAAGTAATACATACTGGAACCACACAGGATGCGGTCGAACAGATAACGAAAACACCAAGTACATCAGCATAGAACGAGGAATGCGTTAAGGGTGCATTTTGTTCCCCCTATTATTTAATGTACATATATGCCGAACATATATGTAGAGCTTCTCTTGAAGATCGCCCTGAAGGTGCCAGAGTCAATGGAATCATTATTAACAATATAAGATATGCCGATGACATCGTAGTATTAGCAGAAACAGAAGACCAACTAAAAATATTGATGAACATATTACCAGAAGAAAGTCACAGGCTGGGCTTGGACATTACCTTTTCCAAAACCAAAATTCTGGTATTCCACAGAATGTTATATTACAACTTAAACTACGAGAAAATGAATATCTTTGGTCTTTTACAGGATAAAATAACTGATAATGATGACATTAAAAGTACTCATGATTTAGATAGACGGAAAACATAAAGAAAGGCTGAAGGAATATGATGAGAAAACCTGGGGATAAGAGACAGAATGAGCAGCCACAAACAGTGAAAGAGTGGTATTGCAAATGTCAGTATTTCAAATTATCTACCGTCGGAAATCTATTTATAATCAAGTTCGCATTACAACCATAATACAGGTTAGGGCAGTCAGCAATGTCGAGTGTGTCACACAAACCCACAATATTCTAATTTGCATTACTGCTATATTACAGGTTAAGACACTATAGTATATTTGAAGAATAAGCTGGAGTAAATTCTCAGAATACTAATCTTCGCACCTCAAAATACATAGGCGTGCACATCTAACTAATACGTAATCTTAAAGAAAAGTTTGCGTTAAATTTATTTGGATATTTAGAACAAAGTAATTAATCCAATCCAATACTGGTTTAAAATAAAAAGATACACATAAAAAGAATAAAAATTCTATTATTTGTGAAACATACAGTTAATATAAAATAATAAAATACAATAAATTATACTAAAACGTAAAATACATACACAAAAACTGTAAGTTTTTATATATTTGTATTAATAAATAATAATATTCTTAATACTAATAATATTGCAAATAATAAAAATTAGCAATAAAGAAAAAATAAACAATTAAGTTGTCGGCAATGAGTTCAAAGGTAAAATAAACTTCTGAGCTACAGTTTAAAGTTAAGCTTCTTCATATTCTGTTTCAGACGAAGTGTTATCCGATCCGGGATGAATTATTATAGGTTCTATACTGCTATCTATTATATGATCGAGCTCCCACATATTTTTCTCAATATCCATCACGTGATTAATACATTTTTGCCAATGTTCAGTCGTTACTTCGGATATTGATTTATGAAAAAGAATAGTAACGTCTGACAATTTAAAAGTTGTATTATTTCGAGCAACGTTACTTTTAACTTCGGCCCATTCAATCAATTAACTAAATTCAATCGGATTTAGCTCGCAATGATACGGTGGTAGACGAAGTATTTCAATTCTCGTTTTTTGGCTATTTCCTCAATGACATATTTTTTATAATTTTGTTTATTAATTTTAGCAAGCTCTAATAATTGTGCTTTTGTCATTCTATCGTCAAAGATTAAATTCTTAGAAGTTAACCACATTGCAATTTCATCTTTCCTCCATTGAGTAGTTGGTGAACGTTCAACTAATCTAGAGTGGTAACTTGCATTGTCCATCACAATAACTGAATTTTTAGGTATTAATTCAATCATCTGTTCGAAATATTCTTCAAACACGTCTCCGTTCATATCTTCTTGATAATCACAGGTCTTTTTTGATTCAAACAAAAGTAAACCCTCCTTAAGAAATCCATTCATACTACCTATATGGGTAACAATCGTCGACCTTTACCTGTTAGTTCTTTGAAACCAGGTGAATATCCTTCCAGAAATGCTTGTCGACATGTTTTTATAGTTTTGCCTTTCCAAACTCTCGCTACAGTATGTCCTTCATGAACCTACGTTTCATCTAAATAATAAATGTTCTTATTTTCTGTCCTCATTTTTTTATTTTTCTGAAGTAGTCTCGTCTCTAACACACAATTTCTTCAGAATCGATAAGCATTGACTGTCTGCCCACCTTTTCATACTTACAGTTTAACTCATGCAAAACTTTCCAAAGTTTGTCTCTACTTATTGTGGGTAAATCGAGATCGTCGGTAATGGCTTGTAAAACTTTATCTAAAGTTGGTATTTATTTGTTAAAAAAATGATTGGACCATTCTACGAATTGCATTTTTGAAAAATTCATCCACATTCATTTTCGACAATTTTGGTCTCCCTGGTCTCGGTTTGGGTGGTGGCGTTATACCAGCTGAGTTTTCCTCTTTTAAAATGTTATATACAGTTGATTTTGAATATTCCATTACTTTGGACGAAATTTCAACTATACTATCAACAGTATTGGAAGGATTGTGTTGCTTAAAATAATTGTAGACGTTAAGGATAACACTCTTTTCGTTAAGTGATAAATGATTCAACTTTAATTTTTTAACTGATGTATAATCACACGTTAATTCCATATTCTATAAACTCACTATTCACTCTTGCAAAAACAACTGTGTCAGATCTCTTCACTCGCTTATAATCGACTAAACAAAAATTTTCTGATATTAAGGAATGACTATTTAAAGACCATTAACCATTTTATTAATCATTGGTTTTCCAAACAAACTCGAAATTTATACTATTTAAGATAGCGTTCACATTTATCAGAAACCATCTTTCGCTAATCGACTTTTTCTATCTAAACTATCAAAAGACCATTAACTAAATACCTATGTATTTTAAGAGTTTCTTTATTTCTTGTTATTTAATGGGTCATTATCATAACGACAAAAATAACCATAAATAACGTTACTAAAATAAATAGATTTATATAAATATAATATGCTTTGAAAATAGTTTAAATATCTAACAAACCGAAACAAATAATGTAATACCCTTAAAGTACGTCTATGAGCAGCTGAAAAAAACCCTAGCCTATACAGTTCTAACAATAACAGGTATTTAAATATTACGATAGTCCATGTAACATGGAAAAATTTCTATCTAAATAGTCAAACCTAACGTAAAATAAGTTAAAATATTGACGTTGTACGAAAAGCACACGTACTAAAATTTGATTATCAATTTAGTTTTTTTTCTGACAATTTACTCCAGCTTATTCTTCAAATATACTATAGAGAAGTTTTAGTTGAGAAATTTTTCTTGGTTAACAAATCCATGATCACATGTAAACTGTCTTGTGGCGACTTTGCTGTCGCAGGGAGCGCCAAAAACGGAAAATGTCATAAGGACATAAGAGCGATATCTTGATTTTAAGATAACTAAATTATATAAAATTATTGCACAAGGAACACCTAAATGAACATTTAGGCCAAAAAAACAATTTTCCATTATTTTAGGGTTATGGCACTAACGAAGTCGGAGAGCGATATTATATATAATATTTTTAATTACAAGTTTAATTGACTGGTGCAAATCTAAAGTTTCGATTTCTCTTGCTTACTTTATTTATTTCATCCTCACTCATGTTATTAATTCTTCGGA